GGTGTCGAGGCCTAGTAGCGTGCAAAGCCTGCGGCCTCGCTTAAAATTGTCGGCTTGGAAGAGGCAGGGTACGGGTGGCGTTCCTTCCCCCCCCCCTAGCGCTCCAACAATACTGTGTAATGGTTATTATTTAATTAAATACGGAGCTTATGAAAGTGGCGAAGGCGTGGCTAGCCGTTGGCAGGGGCAACCGCCGTCCAATGAAACTGCAGCCCTTGGCGAAGGCGTGGCTAGCCGTTGCCAGGTCCAATGAAAGCGGCGAAGGCGTGGCTAGCCGTTGCCAGGGGCAACCGCCGTCCAATGAAAGTGCGTATGGGCCAAAGTCCACACACACACACACAGACAGACAGACATGAACGATTTTATATATATAGATATTGTTTATTAACAGTGTAGTTAGACATTTCTCAACGAGAAAGCTTCTAAATTTTTAAAGTAATTGTTGACCCACATTTTACGATTTTGAATCCGAATCTTTATTTATCCTGGAGAAATCCAATGGGCTATGAAGCTTTTTTTCACAGATTTCCAGTAGGGGGTGGATCAGCAAGTTACTAACAATACAAAAATATGTCGATTTGAATGTCGATTTGTGGGATCGCAACAAGGCCAATTTTTCACCAAGGAAAGCCTCCATGAGTCGGGAGACTACTCCCCTCTTGTCTTAAATGGGATTGTTTGGTCCGTTTCATACATTGGTGTTTTAGCTTCAGGTGTGGGAGAGTCTGTGAGATCCCTGGAGAAAACTCACATTTGAATGGAGAACACCTGAAGTCCCGCAGGTTCAAGCCACACGCAGATTTAAGCCACACACTATGAATGAAATTAATTTTAACGGAGTACATTTTTACACTGGCACATTCGGAGTGATTTTACCGAATTTCTTTTAAGTAACTATAATAGGAATGAAAGCAAGTTAATATACGTGGATCTGGATTGGCACGGTTGGCTACGTACAGTGTGAAAGAAGTTCTACATATGTTTGACATTTGAAAGGTGTCATCTGCAGTTTGTAAATCAAAATTCATGCTTAGGCAACATTTTATATGGCTTCATGCAAGCATTGTAATTAAGTTCGAAAATTGAATAAATTTTTACTTTATTTTCATGGTCCATTGCTCCAAGTCCCCATTTCCAACACAGATGTGCTGGTGTTGTGCTAGGCATCCTAGGCAGTTTGCAGTGCAGACATTTGTATGGCCACAGGTATTTGGTAAATGTCTGTTCTGGTTATCAGCCATGATCCATTCTCTTCTGTCGCCATTTCTCCCAGTCTTGCAATGCAATACTCATTCTACCTGCTGAAAAAAAGAGATGATTTCACTTTGTCTCAGGGGTGTTCCCTCCTTTGCCTGCCACTCTGTCGTCATACTCTGCCATGAGCCATCGTCCATCAAGCGGTGTGCGTCCTCAAAACCCAATGACTTCTTTCAAGTCAACATGATGTCTGACTTGCGTATGTTTTCGATGTATTTTTAACTTAATTTGCACCATAACTAGCTAACTGTGCGAATGAATGCGTTCCTCTTCCTGCTTCTGTTTTACTTCCAAGCACTTGTCATGCCCGTTTGGGTAATGACCGGCAATTGAAGCTTATTGTTGCAGCCATAAATGTCAACTAGTCCTTTCTCATAAATGTTTTGGGTTGCTCATGCAGGCTACCAAAATAAAATAGAAAATATGTAAACATTGTGTGTCGTATTTGAGTCTTTTCTGAAAGGGACCTCCATTTAAGTGTTTTCCCCTTGGCAGCTCTGTTTCAATCGTGTTTTACCATGCCGTTATTATGAGACCCCACAGGAAATGTAGAATTGTGAGTGGATGAATCAAATGTTTGGTATGATGGGCATCTGATTGATTCATTGATGATGGCCTTAAAACTTTGCATGACCTAATAAAAAATGTAATTATGATTAAAATTTAGGGAATTTTTTGGGCAATAACTGGTCAAATTCTATTTAATAAAAGCGTGAGTAATGGTGTAGCTATCCATTGCTCGTTGATATCAAAAATGCAAGCACGTAACCTTCTGACGGATGCTCTTTACACACCTATTGTGCGTTTTGGGTTCATTGGAAGTGTGGTCTGTTAGATGGGAGCGGAAGGCCAAGGTATGCATGTTCATAATTACATTGGCTCTGTTACAGCACAAGGTTTAATAAACCTTTAATGCATACTCCCTCTGAGAAATGTCAAATAGTCTCGGGTATAAAAACTCGACTCGCAATTTAATCATTTTACCTTGTTGTGTCTTTTAATAGTTATTCTTACGTGGGCGCATGGTTAAGAGGGGCACCGTGACACCAATTTTTGTTCATCATGTCTCAGGAAGACATTAGTGAGCTTTCCCAATCTACGTCATCTCTATTTATGTCGTACTTTAATCCATCGTTTCGTTAATATGCATTATTTTTAGCGTGCTCTAATGCTTTGTATTATTGTGCCTTAATAGTTTTGTCCATACGACCTTACGCTCACAAAATTGGAATAAATAAATGCATTTGATCGTTATTGCTTTGTGTAAATCATTATAAAGGAACATTTATTGTGAGTAAATGTAGTGAAAATGACAGACCAAATAGAATATAAAGTTATTTAAATTCTACTTATTGGTAGTTAATTTTACATTGTCAAGGACATTTTAACATTAATATTTTTCCAGTTAATGTTGAAAATTTATTTCCCACAAAATAACTAATACAGGTAGTCCCCGACTTACGATGGTCCGACTTACGATATTTCGATCTTACGATGGCGATATGACACAATTGTAAAATATTTTAAATTTCGCGCGGCAGGCAAACGCAGCAACGTACGAGGTACGATACTGTACGTTGGGACGCTGCCGGGATGTACTGTACGCATCTCCTGCCTTGTGTGGTGATGCCTCTCACTCTCACCAGCGGTCGGCAGAGTTAAGCTGTCTCGGTGTTAGCGATACGTTCAATGCATGTATGATACGTAGCTTTAGCGATTCCATTTTAGGGTTACCACGATACGTTCAATGCATGTTAAACGTTTTTTTTAGAGCAGATAGGATTGTTTCCTGAATTTTTTTCTATTAAATTGCAGTTCATATAGGTCAGCTAAGAATTGACCTCGTTTTTTTTACTTTACATTCTACTGTGCAATACAGTATTGTAATTAATAAATAAATACAGTATATAGTTTATACAGTACGGTACTGTAAATTGCTCTGTTTTGCTAAATTATCACCATTCTTTAAGGCTCCTGTGTAGGCTAGGCCATTTTCGACTTGCGATATTTTCGACTTACGATGGGGTTGTCGTAACGCATCTCCATCGTAAGTCGGGGACTACCTGTACTTCCAATGAAGTAAGTTTTCTTAATTGAAACATTGTAAACTTGTCTTCATAAATGTTGGGCACGGAGGGTTCCAGTAGACGGGAACGCCGCTTAAACTCCTGAATCCCCACCGATTGGCGCGGTTGGTAAACTTCAAGTTATATCTGAAGTTTACTTACACAGGACAAGCCTTTTCCATAATTAAAGAACAAGCAAGAGAGTTACAATTGTGATGGAGATGAGAATGTTTTACTTCAAGTGCAGGGGCTAAGTTAGAATTAAAGATTCGAGAATTAAAGCCAGCGTGACTGAGTTATGTGTGGAAAGTGAAAATAACCAAAATGATGTTACGCAGTTTAAACTCTCCCGGCAGAAATGAAATGGATCATCAAGTTAAATACATGTGTGTTTTATGAAATTGCATAAAACAAATTGATTTGTTACGTTCATTATGATAACCAGTATCTAAAAGGAAGTTTGTTTTTAATTTGGATTGTATGAATGCTTTGTGCATTCGCTTAAGCAATGTTTTAATAGGAGAAAGTGGGTGTATGAACCCTTTGTGGAGGCTTATTAGGAATACAGATCAGTACTGCTCCAGTTAGCACAATGTTCTTGAGCCCACGCAGCACCAGTTTTGCTGCGTCCAAGGGTGTATTTGACCAAGGCACACTTAATACACGTTACATAAGTTTTTTTCAAAAGTGAGTGTTCTGTGTTATTTTTAGACTGGTTGCAACAATGGCAAGTGCTGCCTGTCTAATTATGACTGGACTTATATTAGTGTTCGATTTAGAAGGCGCACAGCCACGAGCAACCTGCTTTATACTAGTTTGTAAACCCAGTTCGCACCAATGCCACGTAGAAATATATATTTTTTACAATTTACTTGAAAGGGAGAAATATTCAAAGCACCAGGATGTCAAGACGTCGCCATGTAAATGACAACAGTACATGTTACTTTCCATGACAGATTGAAAATGTGGACAGGGGAGGGCTAACATAGAACAAAGTCTGAAAAGTGCACAAAGAAACGTGGAGAGGTGCACGTTTGTAGTTGCACTTGGGCAGCACACATCGCTAGAAGGGATGGTGGCTGGTAATCAAACTACCGAGTAGCAGCCAAAATCAGGAATATGCCCGAGTGTACGACCGTCCATCCTCCGTGGAAATGGAGCGATGGAATCTTGACATCGCTAGACCGTGACAGATGGCGGCGGTGGTTTGGAGGCTTTTTTTGGGCAGTGGATTGATCATTGCTGCTGATCATGATGGGTGTTTTTGATAACACGTGGACCTTTTTTAACTGTAGAAACTTGCAGTGTTTGTTCTGACAGTGCTCTCTTTGTGGTATGTGTACTGAAGCGAGGCGTGGGCCGCAAATGCACAGTGGTACACGCCCTACCCTATGAGTCCATCGACCAGAGTTCGATACGCAGCCCCAGATAAAGCCTTTTGCCAGTTGTATTTGAAAGTGTTGCTGACCCTCCCTCCCCTCGGTCGACACAGCCTTAAATGTACATTTGATGTGGAGTCTAAAAACATCAGCACTAGAGAGACAAAGATGGCTGAGCATGGCGCTTGCCACACCATGCCCCTCGTGCACTCTGCCAGCCTTGATTGGTGCTTGTTAGTAGCACTTTCCCCAAATAGTCTTAAGATTACACTCGTGTCTTTGTCTTTGTGTGTTCCAGGACAACTCGCTGGTGGTGTGGAAGGAGATTGACCTCACACGACTGAGTGACAAGGAGCGGCGCGACTCCCAGAACGAGATCGATATTCTGTCCCTGCTGGAGCATGCCAACATCATCTCCTACTACAACCATTTCCTCGACGGCAATGTCCTGCTCATCGAGCTGGAGTATTGCAACGGTTTGTGACGTGCCCTCGTGGCCCCAGTTTTGGCGTGATATCCTGGGGAAAAAAACTTGACAACACACATTCTCACTCTGAAGAAAGTATGCTTTTTGATTTAGAGTAGACATATGAAGTGACTGAGAATTGCATTATTAAGTTCATTAATTGGCCATTTGCAGGGGAGATGATGCAATGAAAACCATTGAAACTGGATTGTGAAGTGTTCCTAATGGGGTTAGCCTGGGTTACATTAACATATGTATGTGGGCTATCAATTATTTTTTCATGACTTTTTTCAACTGTGTTCCCATTGTGGGGAATTACTTTGAGGCATACATACGAATGCCTCCATTAAGTGAAGAGACGAAAGTTAATCTTCAAGTAATATTGGTTACCACTGAGATGACCTATAGAACATTTCTGTAAATTGTCACCCTCTACTGAAACACACCTATCCCAGGAACATTTGCTTCCTCATGCCAACATCCGAGGTCTTGTGGTTGGTCCTTAAGTAGTGACTGCACCACTGCTTTCACAAGATTAATTACCATGCCACAATCTTCCACCTCGAGGTTCATTCAGATGTCCGAACAGATGGCATTCTATTTCGATTTAAAGCTTTCGTGACTGCACGGATTCATAGTCTTGGTTCTTTCGGTAAAGTCACGTAGAAGGGAAATAATAAAATAATAAAAATAAACTAATACAATTATCATGACGTTTTGATTGCAACACAAGCAATCATCATCAGGTGTAAAAAACACGGCAAGAAAATGTTCAAAAATTTTCTTGCTGTGGTTTTCACACCTGAAGATTACTTGTGTTGCAATGGAAACGTCGTGAGAATTGTATTGTTTTATTTTTATTATTTTATTATTTCCCTTCTACGTAACTTTACCGAAAGAACCAAGAATAAGATGGCATTCTGAAGAGGGCTATGTCTGGGCTGTATATGGGCTTCCCATTCAGGCTTTCTTATCAGTTCCAAATACAGTGTGGGTGTGCATCATCATGTTGCCACAATTCGCCCTTTTGCAGCTTCATTAACACATCATTTGTCTTTACATTATCGGGAGAACAAAAAATAACAACGTCAAACACCGTTCTCATGTCCATTTGTGTAAGGCTGCCTCCATCTTTGCATGATCCCACTGACATCTTGCAGCAAAATCCGTAAAAGAAATGTTGCACATGGCTTCCAGCGTAATGCACCAATCGCCATGTAATATTGTCCAAAATGACACGGACAGGTTATAGAATTATGAAGTGTTTTTGCAATTGAAACAACCTTCTCTATGTGGTAAATGCATGTGCATTTACTTGTGCTGTATACTAAGCACGTGTTGTGAAACTCTCCCCTCCCATCGAGCGTTGAGGTGCCATGTGCCTGGCCTCGCCACGAGAAGGCGATACGATCAAGTGCTGACTAATCTCTGAACTTGCTTCTTTATTTGGAGAGTTGGCCCCTCCACACGTGTAGGGCTTTCTCCCACAAACGGTCATTCATTGGCTGAAAACCTCTTCATCAATGTGCCCATTGTGCAGCATTGTGTGATGCAGTTACATATAAGACACTGTATATAAACTCAATATTACTATTATTGATAAATATTTCTGTGTATACATTGTGTGTAAATGGTTACAATGTGCGTAAAGGAATTGTGAAGTGTATTTCATGAATGTGATGTATGTAGAGTGAATGTTGCATTGTTTGGTTTTTGAAAGGTCTTAATATTTGCTCCACAGGTGGCACATTGTATGAGAAAATCATAAAGCAACATGGAGCATTTTTCCCAGAAAAGGTAAATTACACATCTCTCTCAAGTGAAAAATGAATTGAAACCCCACACATGGTGATACACAATGGCTTCTCTACATACACAGATGGCAGTTCTGCAAATGCTAATGCGGGTATTACCGGCGGTATCTCAGTGGGGGCAGGACTGTGGCAGAGTGTTTTGTGCATTGTGCTATGAACCTGCCAAACTCTGTAACCTTTTGTGGCCATGGTTAGCAGTGGCAAGTACTATTCAACCGGTCTTGTGCCCACCCCCCCTTTGCCAACCTTCACTGACCAGCTGATAAAGTAACCACCTTGACCAACATTGCTTGGACAAGCCTTCATCCAGCAGTGGATTTACAAAGGAATGTAAATGATCATTCGTGCATCTCATTTTAAAATTTTGAAAATTAAATGGTTCTCAAATGTTCTTTTGTAGGACATCGTGTGGTACTTTTACCAACTTGTGTCTGCAGTGGAGCAGATCCACAACTTCAAAATTCTTCACAGGTGAGAGTTCCTTGCTCTGTCTAACCAGGTAGAATCAGAACTTGCATCTTCTTCCTTGAATTGGTCTTTCTTCAAGCTTTTCTCTCTACACTCATCATTGATCTGGGTCCTCTCCATGCCTCCTCAACATTACTTCATATCTTGGCTCTCTGCTTGGACCCACGTCTCTCTGTCTAGGCCTTGCTGCTTTCATGCTCGCCCTCCCATCTTTTGATGTTGCTTTTTCTCATCTTGTCATAGCCATCAGAGTCGATTTTCTTTCAGCATGTCTGAGATGGGTACCTCTCTTGACTCCTTCCTTGCCTTTTTGTAATTTCCATAATCTTGATTTGATTAATGAAAGTGTTTGTATTCTTGGGGTTGTTGTCATTTCCCTCCCACCCCCCAAGTTAAAGGGATATATGGAAATAAACTCTTGGCAACAATTTTAATTGTCTTTGTTTTATTTCAGGGACATAAAGACATTGAACATTTTCCTTACCAAATCGGACCTGATCAAGGTCGGCGACTTTGGCATTTCAAAGATTCTGGACTCAAGGAGTCAAATGGCAGAGAGCGTAAGTACACCTACCCTCTTGGGCAACGTATTCCAATGTTAGGGTGCCGACAACCCATAGGCAGACGCGCACATAGTAGCCGAAGGGATGCATTGGAGGAGCCCTATTTGTGGCCAGCTGTTATCCTCGAATACAGCTGACATGATTACGGTGTATATTGTCTGACTTGAGGAGCTTATTGAAGTTGAAGTGATCTTGAAAAGTGTACCGTTGGTTCACAGAAAAGTGTGGACATCTGTGGCCTTTTATGTTCTAGTAATGACAACGTGTATCTTTGATGTTTAAAGCAAAGCCTTCACATGTTAACACGGTTGGCTACATAGGGTGCAAAAGAAGTTGTACATACATGCATGTGGCCTTGTCACATTATTTCTGGTGTCTGTCGTGTCGTTCATGGCAGTTCATACCTAGTTGTCGTGTCCTGGATACTATTTAAAGTTGTTCATCACCATCGAGTGTATTGCTTGTTTCAAATTTAATGCCACCTTGAGTCATAGTTAATGTTCGATTTTACTGGGCTATTTCAGGGGTTTCTCTTCCTGCTATGTCCATATTGTTAATAAAATGAAGCCCAAATTTAGCCCAATTACAGCTTCTAATGTTATTTATTTTATATAGTAACAAAAATACGGGCTTGTATATTTGTATTTAAAAAGCAATGTAAATAATGATAACAAACACCATTTAAACCTTAAAAATATAACCTGCCAACCTAATTTTGGACTGCACAATCCAATGCGACACCAGGTATGACGACAGTACGCTACTAGCCTTGGACTGGTTAGGCGCACGGTGTTTGTGTGCAGCGTAGAAACTCGGCTGGCAAATGCGTCGGCTTGGCTTTGCATGCTGTTACATTTTTGAGCTTGGAGTGCGATTTTATTTCTTTCTCCCTCTTTTCAAAAATGTTTATCCCCGTGCTCTGTGAGATGCGGTATCTCCACCTTGTGTGGTTTCGAGCAACGCACCTTATTTTCACTCGCTCGAGATGAAGAGGTGAAGAGGTTTCGATTTAAAGCTTTCGTGACTGCAGGGATTCATCTTCTTGGTTCTTTCGGTAAAGTCCCGTAGAAGGGAAATAATAAACTAATAAAAATAAAACATAATAAAATAATTCTTACTGACGTTTCGGCCAGTCTTTCCGACAGACCTGTTCTTCACTCTGAGGACGGCTGCTTGCAGTTGTGGCCGAAACGTCGTGAGAATTATTTTATTATGTTTTATTTGTATTTTATTATTTCCCTTCTACGTGACTTTACCGAAAGAACCAATAAGGTGAAGAGGTGCGCGTGAAGTCTGTTGGTTCATTATTCTACCGCGGATGGCTTGTTGTTAGATTTAAGTTGACGGTGTTTTACTAACACCGTCAGGGTTTGTTATTAAATTCACACCTGTGAGTTTGTCCTCATTTCCATGGTATACTCTCTTTTAAAAAGGTGATCCTCTAATTAATACTCTCATTTTGTCATTCGTATATACTGCGCATATTTTTGTTTGGCCATGTGAACAAGAGCTGTGCTGAACATTTTGTGTTTATTACACGTTAGAATTGAACATTGAACATAAGTCATATTTTCTTGATAGTCAATTGCCCAGTGCTGTTTATTCGGGGCTCTGCATGTAACCGATTCTTCGGTCCATCGATCGAACTCCTACACTGTCAAGGTATCGTGTCATGCACAATGCAAATTCTATGCTAATGTTACATTTAAGCTAATGTTAGTAGACAAACCTGTTCAAACGATACGACGTGCAAAGCAAACAAGATGGTAAAACCACGAAAGATTTCGCAGCCGCTTGTAATCCGAGTGAGGTTTTCCAGCGTCGGTCGCATGTTGAGCCGCATTCGCGGTGAAAGCTTTGAGAGAATAAATGCTCAAAGCTTAGCCCATCCCCGAAAACCGAAATTGTAAGATGGTAAAATCATGGCCTGAGATTTGTCTAAAGCCATCGGTATCACCGTGGGGGTTGATCGGTGCGTGCGTGTGTGACCGTGTGTTTCTGCAGTACGTGGGGACTCCCTACTACATGTCTCCGGAGCTGATCCGTGGAGACAAATACAACACCAAGTCGGACATCTGGGCCATGGGCTGTGTGCTCTACGAGTTGCTCACACTCACCCGCACCTTCGACGCCACTGTGAGGAGGAGATGAGGATTCTGCTGTTGCTATTATATAGATTTTTTTATAATCTTGTCCGGGGTTATGTATGTATGTTGAAGATCTTTCACACCGTACGTAGCCAACCATGCTAATTGAAGGTGCATTAATAGAGGTGAGGGGTGGCCTGAGTAAGACGAAAATACGGATAATGCAAAGGTGTGTAACTTGGGCTATAAAAAACATTGTTTACTTACATAGACTGCAGATGGAGACTTATCCTTTATTAGGCTAAATGTTTGCAGTTTCATGGGCCCCGAGTCCACCCCCCCCCCCATGAGCAAAGAGCAGCTAATAACCCAGCGCATGCCCAATTATACTTTTTTTTCTTAAGCATGTTTAATTTCAACCTGGATAATCGAGAGTTAACTATACCACCAACTTGCACTGTTCAGGATCTCGGAAGCAAAGCAGGCTTTTAGCCTGGTTCATATTTAGTTGAGTGAGCGCCTTGCAATGCCATGTGTTGAAGGCTAGGGCAATATAGTAGCCAAGAGGTGGTTAAAAATATGGTATCATTGTAATGTGTGTGTGTGTGTTAACACTTCTTACCTGGTATCTGTGGGGTGGAGTGGTGGTACTGTTTGTTATGCTATGACCCTGGCGACGCGGAGTTCAATACCCAGCCACGGCTACCGTCAGTGGTGAGCGATATCTGAACCGATTCTGACATGGCATGGGGAGGCCTTCATCCAGCAGTTGCTTGAAAAAGTTATGTAATTTTACTTTTCGATTTAAGGACGGCTGCTTGTGTTGTGGCCGAAATTTCGTGAGAATTTAAGAAAGTATTTTTATTATTTTATTATTTCCCTTCTATGTGACTTTACCGAAAGATCCACGAATATAATTTACATTTTTAATGATGTATTTGTATGGGTGTGAAAGAAAATTGTGCTGTAAGGTATGAAATGTGGACGTTCTTTCGTTTTTAGAACCCGCTGAAGCTGTGCTATGAGATCATTCACGGCAAGAAGCAGGTGGAAATCGATGACCAGTACTCGAAGGAGATCAAGGAAGTTGTGCAGAAGTGTCTGCAACAGGTCTGTGATGTCTGTGGGACACCATGCTCCCTGCCCACTCTCGTCTTCAGCCCTGGGATCATTTGCACCATGTGTCTGCAATACAACGGGCAAATTTTACATGTCTTGCATATAGTAAAAATCCCATTTTCAAAGCTCAGAATGTAACGGCGTGCAAAGCCATGCTGACTTGTCCAGCTGTCTCTTCACTGCATGGAAATGTCTCGTGCCAGACAGTCCCAGTAAAGTACTGTTTCTGCATTCACTATTGTAAGAATTGTTTTGGGATATTTGTTAGTGTCAGTAGTGTTTTTAATATTTTAGTGTGTGACATATTTGGGTAAATTTGGTCTTACTGGAAATAAGAGCTCGCTGTTGAGCCAGCTGCTGTGAAACCGTGAGCAGCGCACGAGGCTCAAGTGTGGCTACGGTTTCTCATCGTCCAGTGTGGGCTTAACGACAACGCCTTCCAAATATTTTAGAATTGTGCTCACCACCTGAGTAGATATTGATTCGGCATCTGCACTCTTGTGTGTACATCCGTGTTTTACACCACCTTCTAAATTCACATTTGGTGCCGGTGACTGGCGCTCTTAACCATTTTCCACAATAAGATAACTCATGGGGGGACTCCCTTAGTCCAATGTAAAAGTTGTCGCAACAGACGCTTCGTCTCCTCCGTTTTCCTCCTTTTCTCTCTTGCAGTTTACTTTTTGTAAATTTTCCCATACGACCTTCTCATAAAGTTTGCTTGTATTCATGCTCTCTCACTCAATACTTTTTTTCCATTATCCATAATAATCACACCAGCACCTGGACACAACACGGACATTGGCATTGAAGTCACATGCCGGTTAATCTGACTGCGCCTCATTGCTTGAGGGTTCTGATAGCTGTGGTAGAAAAATCCCTTATCTTAGCTTTATTTATAGCACAACACTGTTTAACGACTCGTTTTCAGTAAGCGTAACACATTTTTTTCATGGCCCCCTACTGTGAAACGACTGTAAAGATTTTTGGGTTGTGCATTCTAGTAATCTGTCCAAATTTCTGTCATAAGACCCAGCCACCACCTGTCATAGCCAAACGTGTATGAAACAATTTGATGCACCAATTTTTATTGTTTTAACTTACCGACGATGAGTTTGAAAACAAATTCGCGCAGCCAAATGTAGCACTTACAATTGACAGTTCACTTGAGATTGATTCAAGTATCTTTGGGGAAAATCCAGGAATCTTGGAAGTCAAAATTACTTCCTAGATTTTTTTTTCCTGTAAATTTGGTTGAGAGTCCTGCAACTCACTGGTGCGTGAGCCATAACAAAAGTAATTGGCGTGTTAAACGCTTGTCCATGTCAGTTTCATTTGTTTGGCTACGACGTCTCGCGGAGGATCTTGTGAACAGATCATTGAGCCGAACTCAAAATTATGGAACGGTTTTCGTTAGTTTTGCTTTAGGGGGTGATGTCGCTGCTATGTGCAATCCCAAATGAGTATTTTGCTGGTAAATGTAAAAATTTGCTAAATTTGGACAAAGATGCAGGCACACAATGGCACTCTTTTTTCGAATGACATCGCAGGATTTTTTGCAACCACTGCGAAGCAGACTGGTGTGTGTTTTGTGTGGTCAATTCACTGGCAGTATTAGTGAGGGCGGCCTACTGGACTCGTACCGTGTGAACCCTCTGCGAGAAGCGGCAAATGTTCGCCGCCCGGATATGTCGCCACCTTGTCATGACGGCAGTGGCTGTGTCGTGTTCCATAGGACGCGGAGCAGAGGCCTACGGCTGAGGATCTTCTGGAGATGTCGCCCATCAAGACGCGTAGGAGGTCTGAACATCATCGGAAAACATTCCCACATGGCACCATGTTAAGCGTAGATTTGAAGTTTTCGTGACTGCAGGGATCCATACTCTTTGGTTCTTTCGGTAAAGTCACGTAGTTGGAAATAAAACAAATCACGACGTTTTGGGCGCAACACAAGCGTCCGTCATCAGGTGGGACAACCACGGCAAGAAACAACTGCTGGTGTTGCGCCCGAAACGTCGTGATTTCATTTATTTTAATTTATACCTACGTGACTTTACCGAAAGAACCAAAGAGCATGTTAAGCGTGTTGTGCGCAGTGGGCTATAACAGTCCCTTAGCTTTGGCATCTTAAAATGTTACACATCTTATGCAGCTTAATGACATTATATACATACTATTCAGTAAATTAAGCAGACTTGGGTTGGAGACATTGCTTTATTATAGACGGACGATGGTCAAGAATAATAGTGGTAGCTAAGCAATGAAATGCATCCGAGGAAGTGGAGCGATGAAATCCGATCATATATGAATGTTGTAAAAGGTTTTTACCCTTTTATCTGGAAACAAAACTGACACCTGTTTTACAAGGGATCATGTTTGCATTAACTACAACACTTGCGGTCAAAATGCAAACAAAAACACAACTCTGATAATGTATGCACTGTCCTTGAAATTTATTGATCCACACCCGAGACAGCTTTTCTTAGAGCCCAGTCTCACATGGTGTTGGACCAGATGACGCCAAAAGGCGCACAACTCAGACAACGCACCATCAGAGTATTGAGAGCTCAGGGTAAGCATTTACATTGAGACCTCCTATGAATGGTTAGGTGAATTGCTCCATTGCAGGATTGTGGAGGACGCTTGGAGAGGAATTTATACGACATGGGGTTCAGAAGTGCTTGAACCACTACGTCACTGAATCCCCCCTGCTACCCCCCCCCCCCCCCCCCCCCCCCCCCCCCCCCGCTATTTATAGGGATGGCAAAACTGATTTAAATGTTTTGGAACTGGCATCAGGAGGTTCGGTGCTGAGCAGGAGAACTGGCTACGTTCAGTTTCAATTCGGTTGCATTTATTAGGTATAGCCCTGGGAGCCATTCGGCTCTTGAATCGGGTGCAACCGCAACAAACAAAAAACAAAAACATGAACAAGAAAACATCTTAAAGTGACTAATGCGCAAACAGAAAAATCCAGGAAAAAACTGCAAATTCTTCCAGGAAAAAAAAGACCGTACACCAACGCTGTGCAAAAATCCCAGTGGGATGCAAGTCAAACAACAATGACAACTTAGATTAAAGCCATCATTCTAACTCCGTACTACAACAAACAAACAAACATGGCCACACCAAAATACTTTTCGAAATCACCAAAATAAAGCCATAATAATGTAACAGTGTACATGCTCCCCAGAAGCCATTGAGTGGACCGACCCACCTGGCTTCCACCATCTTGTGTGTGGTGCACAGATTTGAGTGGTTCACAAATTAAATTTGTATTTCCGTTCAGGGGGTGTGGATTGGATACATTTATCGCATTTTGTGGAGAGTCAACGGTGGCTTTTTTGCTACGAATGAGTCGCCACCACAGAAATGTGGAATTTTACGCGTTGGGCTTGGGGTTGTCAACAAAAATACCAAAATCAACATTGCCCCATGTGCATTTAAGCAGGAAACCACTGACTTTAAAATTTTGGAGAAGTACTATAATTAGCATCGCAGTGTATTTCATAGATTAGATTTTCTTTGCAGTGAAGCATATATATTGAGTAATGCTTGATAATGAACAGTGGTTAAAGGAATGTAATGTGACGAAGAAAACCCTATGGTAATTTTTACGAGTGTTCATACCATGTTTTCTAAAAAAAGAATCTTCCCAAAAGCAATATAATTCACAATTCCTTCATGATCTGGATTGGAACATATGATGCATTAACTATGAGCCGACTAGGGAAGGGTTGAGTACTCTGACTACATTGTGCTTATCTTACCTATAAAAGTATTTTTGTGTGTGTCTATCTCTGTGTATGCATGTCCTTCTAACGCTTTTAACTGACAGACTATTTTGTTTACTGCATAATAAAGGTTTTTTGGGTTAGATCGCGTTATTTATTAAAGATTCGTCTTTTGTAAACGTGACACATTTTTACTGTTTGGCCATGTTGGGTGGTGTAGGTTACGACACATTTAACGCGATCTAATCCAAAACAACCTTTATTATGAATAATATTGGTCGCGAAAGCCTACGTGTTAAGAAAATAACACTTTGTAACAATGTACGCTGATCATAATTATAATTTTGAGCGTGGCAAAGCACGCATCTGCGCATGCGCGGAACGCCAACTCGCGGTTGCCCCTCTATCGTAGTATCTACTATATATCTACTGTAGAGTAGGTAGATGCTACTGTAGAGTCAGTCGATACTGCTGTATTGTATGTAGGGTGTGTAGGTTTATATGCCTACACACTATAAATTGGGTGGGGGGGGGTAAAAACATTTTAGGGGGGGGGGGGATGGTCGCGAATTTTTTGAAACCTTTTAGATCAACTGTTTACCCCCCCCCCCACTTTCTATAACGTTTTGATTCAGGCCTTCTGTAAGGCCCTTATAATTTTCTTGATAGGCAAAGGGACAGACAAATGGAACGCTGGGCTTTTATAATAGCTTAGTATTTGTGTATGTATATGTTATGTTTTTTTAAGAGAAGACAAGTTTGAAATAATGTGTTTTTTCTTGGGCAAAGCTGGGTACTTCCTGCTAGTCTGTTACATAACTGCCTTTGTTCTCTTTGTGAAGTGTAATCCAATGAAATTCGTATTTTTTTGGAAATTAATGTTGTGGTTAACACGACAAATACTTTTAACGTTTAATGCAGATATTAAATAGATGAGGTGGTTGCTTTAGAAAGGTAGCATCATACGAGAGAAATGCCCTGCTTGTCTTCCAATGCTTGATCGAGTTTACTTTCTTTTTTACATTGGGATAACGTTCCGTCTGTTATTAAACAACTTGTAAAATGCTTGTATACCAACTCCCACTCTGTATACAGGGCAGTTTTAAAGCAATTTACTGAAGACTACTTTCAGGAGGGATCTATAGTGGGATTTTTAGCCAGTCCACTCATCTGCGTTTGGCTTTGTGCTCACAATTCTACTTTCGGACATGAATTACTTGGGTTTGTCGTGATTCGGTGAAACTACAATATATATTGTACAATACACGGTCCGCTATTATATTGCCTGTCGTACCGATTAATTTTTATTGGCATTTATGATTTTATTTATTTATTTTAAATGTTATTCCCTGATTAAAATAACGCAATAAATTAAAGTTATAAATTAACGGTGCTTTCCATTGGAGTGCTGTTATCCATGGCATAGCAGTAATATGTGAACATTTAATTAACAGTATATTTACTGATTGGCCATGTCGGGTGGTGGAGGGTTACGACACATTTATAAATAATGCGATCTAACCCGTAAACGTTTATTATGAATAATATTGGTCGCGAAAGGCCTACGTGTTAAACTAACGGTATGTATATTAGAAGCAATTCAGATTGTAATCTGGCAACGAAAACTATGAGTCTTTTGGCAGGCTTGCATTCCGTGAACTGCAGTTGAGTAACTTTAAAATCCTGTATTCATACCAGAAGTGCAGCGACGCACAAAACAATACAATAAACGTGCTAAATACAATTGCGAAGTTATAGGAAACTGATATTGTCGATAATCGTCATATCGTGAAACGCCAATATTGCGGCAACCCTACGAATTAGAATGTAACCCAACTGGCGGCGGCCGCCTGTTGTCGGTGAGGCGGCTGGCGAGTGCTGTGCACAGCTCAAGGGGACGGCTGTGCTTGTTCCTACCCTCAGGCCAACTCTGACACGGCCCTCTCCTGCTGCCGGCTTGCATGCTGTCCCCTCGGCTTGTTTGCCTCTCCTTGCTTTCACCTGCCTACCTGCACTGGCCTGTCTCTGGGCTGGCTTGGCTGCTGGAACCTTGGCGTAGTTTCTCTGCCTGCGAGTCCGGTAGTATTACACCATGGTATTGTTGGCTTGGCCTGGGGCTTAGTGTTGTTTTGATGACAAGAACTTTACTTTTCTTTAAATTATCTTGGGTGTTATCGATCGATAGTTCCCAACGTTTCTCGATCTGTGGATCACATATGAGTACTTAAAAATATTCTCTGATTGCCATGCAGTGAAAGTAATTGTATCCCTCCGTTCCGTGGACCACTTCCCCCCCATGCTGACGGACCACATGTTGGGAACCACTGCTATATAGATCATAGTGGGTGGCGTGGAGGAGCAGTGCTTAGGGCACTGTGCTATGAACTTGGCGACTAAAATTCTATTCCTGGCCATGACTAACTCATTGGCGAGTGATATTCGGAGCTGGGCCTGTGTCCCATCAACCACCTGGGCCCCCCCCCTCCGTTACCCCAATCTCCAACTGGTACTGACCAGCTTGGCGAAGTATGACCAAAACAACCCCCATGACCAATACGTTGCGGGGAGGCTATCCAAAATTGGATTGACAATTGGCTGTAAATTATTTAATGTTCTTATACATAATTTGGCCTATACAACTTTTAGAAAGTATTATGACTTTTTTCATGTTCATTTCTAACAATGCTGAAGTCCCAGCCAAGCCACACTTAACCATCTAACACTCTTGTTCTAATTCTCTAAACCTCTTGCTTTATTAATACGGCGCTGTGCACATACACTGACTTTCAAAATATGTATTGCTAAATAAATTAATTTAAGTAAAACTTATGGCTGAAGAAATGACCCGATCGTCTGTGATATGGTGAGGTTGTAGCTGTTGTTTTTCATCGATGCCTGATTCTCAACTCCCTTGCCCATTCCACCACCAGGGAAATGGAGAAAAATGTTTGGCGGCTAAACGAGCCTGCAAGACGCATAAGGTAATTATCAGATGTCGACACAAATCCACTTGAGTGCAAACGCTCTCTAATTACACTTCTGAAGTAAAATTGGTACGGATAGATACGCAGTCATGTTTTAAATGAGCTTAACGTGAATCGCTTGCATTCCTTTTCATCGGTGAAGAATGAGACGTTAACGTGACACATTCAAATGGCTAGGTTTTTTTTCTTTGTCATTATTAATAGTATTGGAGCATAAATCGTCAGCAATCTCTGCATTCAAAAGCTGAATATTCCTCGTGGTATTATTCTCTGTCCTTTACATAAACATATTAATTTGTGTCACGAAAGAGCACGCTATGCAATGGCAACTGTATTTAACACTGCTGCATTAGGTGAGAGATGAGTACACTATATTCTAAGCACATCTACACTACATATTAATTAAGTCGTGGGAAGTGTTGGGTTATGCCTGTCTATTAAATTACTTCTAAATGGGGCTTGTGTCACGTGGTGGGCCATTGTAATTGGAATATGGAATGAACTGTGCTGGGTGGATGAGGTGATTTGGCCCAATTGCTGGGACGAGTGACCGAGGGCAAAATCAAAAATGAGTCCAAGGGCGGAGTGTGGGAGGGGCAGTGCCCAATAAATCCTGAACAAGGATTGTTAACCATACTTAATTTTTATCCATTAAATTAATTGCCCAAATTTAACGCCATAATACAGGTTTTTTTGGGTTAGATCACTTACGTATATAAATGTGTCGTTAAACCCGTGGCTTGGCTCTCCAACACCGTTGTGCTGTACTAGTTAGAAATTGGCATGTTCTGTTCACGTGACAAACCTTATCAATTGGCTGTGTTGGGTGGTAGCGGGTTTAACGGCACGTATATATTTACGCGATCTAACCCAAAAAAACCAGTATGGGTGATATTGCTTGCTAAAGCCTACATGTCAAATTTAACTCATTAATGCTTTAAAAATGCATGCATGTGATTACATGCCATACTAGGACAGGCTACCATCACTGGCATTTGCTAAGACGCGGAAAAAAAAATTCCTACACGGGGCGAGGGGTGGGCCCGTGTGTGCAAGTCATTGCTCTTCTGAGCGCAAGCCGGGTAGCATTAACTAGCCACCCGGCACGGGTGGTGCAGGCAGCATTATCACTTTGCGAGGGCACCATGGGCACGGGATGCGTGGAGGTGTGCACGCTAACGAGCCGGAGTGCGTGAGCCAGGAGCGATAATGCGGAGGCGGTGCCGGTGGTGACTGCTCGGTCGAGCGATGTCTACTACTGGGGCGGTGGCAAGCGCACGCCGCAGATGCTGGACCAGTTTCGTGGCGGGTACAGCGCATTGCGGGTGTGCGCCAGCAACACCCACTTCGCAGCCGTCACCGTTGAGAAGGAGCTGTACACCTGGGCGGTATGTCTGTCACTACCTCTCCTCCATCTGCAGTGGTGGTGGTGTGTGGTGATGTGTGGCGTGGTGTTTGTCTTTGTGGGGAATGGTAGTGTCAGTAGTTGGGGCACTGCGCTACAAACGCGGCGATCCGATATTCGATTCCCGCTCATGGCCAAACATCGGTGACCATTATCTGGACTAGACCTGGGCCTCCTCTAGCTGGTGCAGCGATACAAAGGTGGCCGGGCGTGTTGCTGGCAAGCCACCACCGTGTCGTGTGCTGTGCCGACCTTCATAGATACTCTAAAACCACTTGCTCCAACAGTCGGTTAAGGCTATATGGGGGGGGGGGGGGTTGTCTTTCGAGTGGTGTGTGTGTTCCTGTGGAGTGTGTGTGTGTTCCTGTAGAGTTGTATATATGATTAAATCATATTCTTAAGTATAGTAAAGTGATAGTCTCAGCCTGGTTGCCAATTATTGCAATTTTTTTGTATTACATTTAGTTTAGTTCTTAATTTGTCTAATATCCTTGTCTGAGAAAAAAGTGGTTTGACTGATAGTACCAAAAACTACTCCCCAATGGCAGAGCAGGTGGGAAAGTGCTTCATCCTGGAACTGGGACCCCATATTCTAAGGGGAGGGTACTTGCTTCTTACACTGGTGGCAGTTCACCAGCGTTGATTGAAGCAAACATAACTGCTGATGAGACTCTATGTTGAAACCGATCCAGAGTTTACTTGTTTTGAAACAATGCTGCTGAAATTATGCTCTCCCATGAATCCGTGCAGCTGATGGGTTGTGAAAGAAATACTTTTCTTTTTACGTGGAGAGATGGATATGTGAAGGACACATTTTTGTATGGAACAGAGCTCCGTCAGAATGTTTATTTGGCTGCACTTGAAGGGATCTCAGACCTAGCTCTGTAATATTCCCTTCCATGGGCCATTCTCTATCTTGGGTTGTGTTTGTATATCTTGGTGAGATCCTAATGGATCTTTCATTTTGTAATATGTACGCTGATAGTACAATTCGGATAAAATGTAGAAACAAGAGCTGCAGCGGAGCTTGCACACAGGGCTTGCGTGACCGCGGGAAGAGTTGTGAAAAGCCAAAGAGGGCAGCGAATCATTTGTTTATAATTTGTTTTGGGTCATTCGCCCTTTGCAGAATGTGCAGGGTGGCACCAAGATGGTGGGGCAGCTGGGACACAAGGACAAGGCATCATACCGGCAGCCCAAGCGCGTAGACAAGCTGTTGGGCCTCGCTGTGCGACAGGTGGCCTGCGGGGATGAGTTCACTGTCTGTCTCACAGGTACTGCACTCTTGCCCTCTTGAAAACACTTGCATATGTAGCTGATGCCACTGATGAATTAAATGTGGTAAGTCTTTGCTTAACGCGTGTTCGCAAAACACGTTTTCACTGTAACGCGGTTCTACCGTGAGGTAACACTTTTCGCGCAATGTGGAACGTGCACCGTTATAATGCCGTTTCTGAGCGGTCGACGACCAGCTTCTTTCTTGAGCCTGCGTGACTAAGCGGTACTATAACGTACGCAATGATACAGTAACGCTGCGGCGTACCCTCGGTTATTCGTCCCGCCATCTTTACTGTGTGTTTGTACATCGTGTGCCTACATCGCATCTTGCCAAACTTTTATCGTTACATTATTTATTGGAAAATTGTTTTTGCGTGTTGTGTTTTTCGCTCAACACAGCACTTTTCAGGAACTCATCTTTCACCTTAAATGAGGGCTTGCTCAATTTTGATTACTCGACTGGTTATCGGTTCGATTGCTCGACTGTGGGACAGCACCAGAATAGTTGGGTGCAATAAGCGTAGCCTATATACCCACGTGTTAGACAATTAGAAGTGAAATAAATTACTACTAAGTTAAATATTCTATTTGGATGTAATGTTGGTGATTGTTCAATTACTGTAGTCTAATACAATATATTCTGATCCAAATACACTTGATTTTAGTTAAACAAAATTTGTGACGTAAATCTCAACAAGAGATGTAAACCCAGCAACTTAATGTAGTGCTCACATGTTCGCTACGCTGGTAAATGTAATTACAAAGTCGGTGTCTGAAGATGAAAATAAATCGTTCGTGAATGTGCTACTCGCAGTCAGTGCCACGCTTGTCTGCAAGAATGTCACTGGCTGTTGTGTGCACGTGCATGTGCACGTGTAGCGGTTAGGACACTGCTTTTCACGTAGTCACCTGTGTTGTGTGTGTGTAATGGTTAGCGTATTGCGCTAAGAACCCGGTGACGTTGGTTTGAATCCTGGCCATGGCTAACATCAGCGGGTCAGCGTTTCCCACGACAAGTCCTGTATTGTTTTGCAGGAGGTCTTTGTGTCTGTGTGTTTATTTTGGAATGTGTCATTTGCCATGCCGTCCTTATTAATAGGCGCTCGCTTAACAGCACTCCCCCGACCAGTGTGTATTGCTATAAACAGGATTTGTCGTGTGTGTATGTCTTGTGTTTGTCGTACAGAGCAGGGCGAAGTGTTCAGCTTCGGCTCCGACTACTACGGCTGCATGGGCTGCAATGGGGAGCTGGGAGTGGAAGTGCTGGAGCCGATGCCCGTGCAGTTCTTCAACATCAACCCTGTGACGCAGATCTCGTGTGGAGACTGCCACGTCATGGCGCTCACGCGTTCGAGCGCCGTTTATGCGTGGGGCTGCGGCGAGTACGGTGAGGCTTCGCCCAGCCGTGGTGAAGAGCGTCGGCAGCCTTTAGTTTGAGTTTGGCAGCCAACGACGGTACATGAGAAAAAACCATCGTGTTACATTTTGACCGTGCTTAATTTGGCAAAAATTTTAGCTCCTGAGAATTGTATGTTTGTTTGTACGTCATGCGACAAACATTACTCCCTGTGGCAGGGCGGGTGGGAAAGTGTTACTCCTTACTTTGTGGACCAGACATCACGTGTGAAGGGAGCTCAGAGGTCGCTCTATCTGCTTCTGATATCAGAGCTGCTCTCTGGGATGGATTGTACATCTTATGTCATGACACTGATAACGTAGTTCGGGATAAAGTTTGGTAAAAAGACGACAACGGAATGGGAAACTACTTGGGGGACATGTAACCAATTGTTTTGTACAGCTGCCCTCAGCGTCTTCCTACCCCGGTGAGCAGACGCTTGTGGCGTGAGCTCTGTGGCGCGAGAGCTGTGGCGCGAGAGCTGTGGCGCGAGAGCTGTGGCGCGAGATCTGGTGGCGCGAGAGCTGTGGCGCGAGAGCTGTGGCGCGAGAGCTGTGGCGCGAGAGCTGTGGCGCGAGAGCTGTGGCGCGAGAGCTGTGGCGCGAGAGCTGTGGCGCGAGAGCTGTGGCGCGAGAGCTGTGGCGCGAGAGCTGTGGCGCGAGAGCTGTGGCGCGAGAGCTGTGGCGGAGCTGAGAGCTGTGGCGCGAGAGCTGTGGCGCGAGAGCTGTGGCGCGAGAGCTGTGGCGGCGAGAGCTGTGGCGCGAGAGCTGTGGCGCGAGAGCTGTGGCGCGAGAGCTGTGGCGCGAGAGCTGTGGCGCGAGAGCTGTGGCGCGAGAGCTGTGGCGCGAGAGCTGTGGCGCGAGAGCTGTGGCGCGAGAGCTGTGGCGCGAGAGCTGTGGCGCGAGAGCTGTGGCGCGAGAGCTGTGGCGCGAGAGCTGTGGCGCGAGAGCTGAGCTGTGGCGCGAGAGCTGTGGCGCGAGAGCTGTGGCGCGAGAGCTGTGGCGCGAGAGCTGTGGCGCGAGAGCTGTGGCGCGAGAGCTGTGGCGCGAGAGCTGTGGCGCGAGAGCTGTGGCGCGAGAGCTGTGGCGCGAGAGCTGTGGCGCGAGAGCTGTGGCGCGAGAGCTGTGGCGCGAGAGCTGTGGCGCGAGAGCTGTGGCGCGAGAGCTGTGGCGCGAGAGCTGTGGCGCGAGAGCTGTGGCGCGAGAGCTGTGGCGCGAGAGCTGTGGCGCGAGCCCTGTGGCGCGAGCCCTGTGGCGCGAGCCGTGTGGCGCGAGCCGTGTGGCGCGAGCCGTGTGGCGTGAGCCGTGGCGTGAGCTGTCTCGCCGCAGATCTGTTTGATTTCCTTCTGTTTTAGGCCGATTGGGATTGGAGACTGATGCCACGGAGTTCTACCCTAAACGAGTAAGTCCATGAGATGGTGAGCTGTCTATTTGAATAGGCTTGTAATGATTTAGCAATTCATTGTAACAAAAAATATTTTCACTGCAACATGGGGCTAATGTTCTCCACTAGCATTACATTTCTTCTGCACAGTATCCATTTGCATCCTGTTCCTCCCTGCAATGCTTTTAGGGGTATGCGCCCGCACGGTTTGAGAACCATAAGGGCCAGGGTCAACGGCGGCCTGGTGTATTCCGCAAATATGCCCGACTGCGAGGGCGGGCTCAAGCCGGCGTGAGTAGGTTAAACGTTGAGTTTTATAAGGGCACCACGGGGTGACCAGCCCCTCCCCACCCCACCCAGCTCCACCCTTTCCACCCAGCCCCTCCCTGCACGACGGACGGACACAATAATCCCCTGTGGGCTGGTGTAACCAGGAGGTTCCTACCAGTATAAATTCTCAATTGTCTACATCTGTGAGCAAAATCCTCGCCTCCAATTCAACGTGCTTGTGCTTCCTTGGCAGGTGCCCCTATCGAACCGGTGGAAGATCACGGAGGTGTGCTGCGGCACGGATGGCACGTTCTTCCTGACGGCGCAGGGCAAGGTGTTGGCGTGCGGCAACAACGAGTTTAACAAGCTGGGCCTCAACCAGTGCACGTCGGGCCTACGCAACCGTGAGACCTCCGTGAGTTAGTCGGCGCCGCAAGGGCTCCGCACATCCCTATGGGCGTTTCCTCAGGAGCTTTGCAGCGTGATATCTATAACACGATTACATTGCAGTGCCATGTAGCTTTATTACGATTGTCCATCAACCGTGTGCATGAATGTTTTGCCTGTACCGCTGTCGGTCCCCTGGGGGTTGATTGACCCTACTCGTCGGTGTGAGTTAGTGAATCTGTCGTCAAGGGAGATGGGTAACAACCCAGGACCAGTTGGATATAATTTGGTCACTGCTGGCGTTCACTGTGGCCGGGAATTAAGTTCCGGTCAGTGGGATCTTGGTACATTGCTCTGAACACTGTGCCACTGCTCCACCCCAGTGTAGATTTATAAAGCACCAAATTGTGGACGTCATTCGGAAGGAAGACCTGTGTGTGTGTGTGATAATATTGTGAGGATTTCGTTTTTTTATTGAAGGTTGAGGTTAGGGACAGGATCATGTGAGGAAAGAACACTTCAGTGCCATGAGTGACAAAGGGACCAAGATTGATAGAAAGGCCAGTTATAGACAAAGGCGAAGAGGAAGGCCTCGAGTCTGGGCCTGAACAGGGGAATGGAGATGACAAGGGGAGGGATTTTAGACAGTGGAGGCAGCAGCGGAAAAGGTGCAACCTACCACTGAGTGGCGCTTGTCTTGGCGGTTTTTGGGAGGCCATATCCGCTTGATCAGAGGGTGCGGGAATGGGGAGATACACAGATGGCTGGCAATAATGGTGTTCCAAATTTATGGGGGCAGCAGAGGGGAGTAAGCGACCTTCTGCAGAGGCTAAGGGTTGTTCTAGGGCCTTCAACAGAAAGCCTTGGTTGCTGGAGGATAGAAAATGTGGATTGGAGGAGTACAGTAGGAGATCTGGGACTGAATTGGGAGCCATTGGACCAACTGAATTATTGAGTCACGTAGGCTTCTCCCACCCTCAACCAGTATATATACAAATACTGTGTTCTTGGAATTTCTCTCACTTGATACAGCTATCGTGCTGTGACGGTTCCACCTGAAGACGGAAGCTTGTGTTGCCTCCGAAACGTCGTGATTTTTATTTTATTTTTATTTTACTTTTATTAATTTAAATTTTTTACCTACGTGACTTTACCGAAAAAACCCAAGAATATGAATCCTTGCAGTCACGAAAGCTTCAAATCTAGAATGAACTATTGAGGTGATCACGTGTCCCTTTGTGCCAATGCATTACTTCCAATTGGTTAAGTAAGTTGGGGTTTGTAACATTAAACCCCTTGTGTCACCTTGTTGGACAGCCAAGGTTTAATTTTGACAAGATTTACTGCACTGCCTCTACAGGTCTTCCACGAGGTGATAATGAAGTTGATGCCAACACTGGTGAAGCAGCTGTCTATCTACAAGATCCGTAGCATCTCCGGCGGCAAGACGCACAGCGCCGTTATTGACGGTGTGTGGGCACAGCAGCCTTGGCATGATTTTACCTGCTCTTGTAATGGCAGTAGGAAAGGTGCCAGCTGCAATCATTACCTACTCAATCAGGGGCAGGGAATATTTTCCCTAAAGGGAGCTGAATAGGACTCACGAATACCTTTTTTAAGTGGGCAAACACACTAACACGCACACCTTGGCGTTATCCAATAATAATGATGTGATGAATATGAGCCCACCTTAACCGTACGAATTTCAGTTCTCATTTTCAGTTTCATTTATTTGGTATATCCCTGTGAGCCATTCGGCTCTTGAATCGGGTGCAACCGCATCAAAAATAAAATAAAAACATGAACAAGAAAACATCTTAAAGTGACTAAGCGCAAACAGAAAAATCCAGGAAAAAAACTGCAAAAAATTTTCCAGAAAAAAACACCGTACACCAACGCTCTGTGCAAAAATCCCAGTGGGATGCAAGTCAAACAACAACGACAACTTATCTAGAATTAACGACAACTTAGATTAAAGCCATCATTCTAACTCCGTACTACACCAAACAAACATGGCCAAACCAAAACACTTTTTGAAATCACCAAAATAAAGCCATAAAAGCAATGTAACAGTGATCAATGGAACTGTGACCTAAATTTCACAATAAACGACATAAACAACATGTACCACCAAAACCCTGTAGAATACAATTCCTGCGAACCCATACGTGTGCACACACCACACTGTGCAGCCTTTTGATGGCAGTGAATTGTTTATTTGCACATTGACTGATAAACAATCATCGTCGTCATGATCGGGCATTATCGCTCCACTGATTGAGACATAATGGCTCGGGGGAGGCTTTCATCCGAGTCATTGTGATGGAACATTATTACAAGTTCAAATGTTGCCGCTGTGTTAGCGTGGCGCCCTCAAGTGGCCAGTGTGACGTGCTGCTGTTGTGTGCTGTCCCGTCAGTGTGCGGACGTCTGCTTACGTTTGGGCACAACAAGCACGGGCAGCTGGGCACGGGCGACTTCAAGAAGCACCTGGGCATCGTTCTGCACAAGGGGCCCCTCGTCGGCAAGCTCATCACCATGGTGTCCTGCGGGGATGGCTTCACAATTGCCGCCACAGAAGGTGGGTCTTTCGGGCCAGTCGGGGCTGTACGGGGGAAAAGCCAGAAAAGCAAATAAGAAAGTGAAAATATGGGGTCTTGGCAGTGGGGCAGGAGAGGGCAGTTTGTTAGGTTGTGAAGCTCGCAAGTCGGCCAAACGCACTCCCAATCTCTAATCCAGTGGCAGAATGTGGTCGGTATGGGCCCCCTGGTGCAAGGATTGAATGGGAGAGACCGCCTGTACATTTCCCCTCCACGTTGTGGCCCAGCGCCTTTGGCCCCTCTGCCCCGTAGGCCTCCGGTGCAGTTGCACTACCTGCTTGATCAAGTCAAGCCACTGCTCTAAACCATACAAATCGAGTTCAACATCAGCCATCATCAATCCACTGCTGGATGAAGGCCACTCTAAGCCACTTCCACCTGTCACAATCGTGTGACAGTCCACCTAGTACCTGCACACTTATGATTAACAAGGTAAAAAATATTTTCTCCATGGGCTTATGGGCCTTGGCCACCAGCAATAGCTCTAACCCTAAACCCAGTACCGCCTCGATCCCCGAGCGCTTCACCATGCCCCCCTTTTAAAAATATACTTCTTTGGATTTTTGTTGTACACAAGAACAACGTCCCGCTGCAGAACGTGCGGCGACAAAAAAAAACCTACACGCGAATATCCACCAGGCCCATGTACTCGACGCGTCCTGGTTGACGGGGAGGGTGGGAGCAGACAACCCCGGGAAGGAGAGGGGGGGGGGGGGAGAAAATATTGTCTCATTTACTTGGGAAAATCGTGCTGGTAGAATATTAGTTTTTTTTGTAACGTAGGGGAGGGGCGGTGGCTGTATATAAGAAAGTAAAAGGTGGGGGTGGGGGATGTTTAAATTTACTGGTGGGGTGTCCCAGGCTTGTATGGCAGAGGAAGTGAGGGGGAAGAGAAGTGCAGTTAAAACCTTGTATTGCGAGTAACTTGGTCTGCGAGTGTTTTGCAAGACGAGCAAAATTCTAAAATAAATATTAATTTGATTAACGGGCGAGGTCTTGCAATACGAGTCGTACGTGTATACACTTTGTCTACCGAGCGTCACGTGATCACAGCTGATATACGAGTGCTTTGGATTACATACACGTTTCCGGAACGAGTTATGCTTGCAGTCCAAGGTTTTGCTGTGAAGGTTAAACCGGGGGTCACCCCATAATCAACAAAACATAAGTCCGGCTGGTGCTCGACAACGTTTCCCTGCTGAAAGGCTGGCTATCACTCCCGTTGAGGCCCCGAGGGGTTTGATATCCCATATTCTTAGGTTTTTTCGGTAAAGTCACATAGGTAAAAACTAAAACTAAAAATTAATAAAAGTATAATAAAATAAAATTAAAATCACGACGTTTCGGAGGCAACACAAGTAAGAGAAATTCCAAGAAAACAGTCCTTGTATATATACTGGTTGAGTATATACAAGGACTTACTTGATGCAGCAGTCGTGCTGTGACGGTTCCACCTGAAGACTGAAGCTTGTGTTGCCTCCGAAACGTCGTGATTTTAATTTTATTTTAATTTTACTTTTATTAATTTTAGTAATTTTTTACCTACGTGACTTTACCCAAAAAAACCTACGAATATGAATCCTTGCAGTCACGAAAGCTTCAAATCTAGAGTTTGATATCCCGTTCCAGCGGGGACCCTGTGCCCCAGGCCTTCTCATCTGGTTCGCTCATTGCAGACTCTGCATCAGGGAGCCTATGTGACCATACCCCCTTTTTAATGTTTGTCCACGTGTTCACGATGCTCGTATAAAAATCACTCTTGAGAGCTGGCTATCTGTGCCGCAGAAATCCCAAACCGATGCCTCATCGTGCCACCCATTGGTTACGATGAAGTTAGCCTTGGGTTTGATATGATTATTGAATGAGCCAGATGGAACTCTAATGTTTTCTGCAGGATGGTGTTTGTGTTGTGCCACATCTTGTTTAATATTTATAATGTAGCTCATGGACAGACTTTTTAATACTTTTTTTTGCGGTGTCTCCCAATGTACAAAGATTAAGTGCAGTCGAATTGGTGATCTCGTACATTGCTACATTCCACTCTTTCTCCGATTGTTATGACCCAAACCTCGAATGTGGCCGAAATTGTCAAATCTCAGATGCTAAGCAGGGTTGAGTCTGGATGGTGTCATGTACAAACGAGAATTTGTCGGTCGCAGGATGACATGGTGGGCCACAGATGGCAGTGCGGGGGAAAAAATAAATTTTGTACAACTCTGCTCCCCACCTTGTTACAATTCCGCAGTGATCAATGTGTAGCATACTCTTTGTTTTTTTTAGGTAAAGTCACATAGTTAAAAATAAAATAAAAATACATGAAAAAACAACTGAATTAAATAATGGAAGACGGTTCCTCCTGAAGACGGAAGCTTGTTTTGCCTCCGAAACGTCGTGATTTAATTCAGTTGATTTTCTTTTATTTTTAACTACGTGACTTTACCGAAAAAAACAAAGAAGATGAATCCTTGCAGTCACGAAAACTTCAAATCTAGAACGTGTCGCGTGACCAAATAAACCTCATACCGCCCGCACGGCCTGATGGAGGCGCTAATCCAAACAATGGCTTGACAAAACCCGCACCTGCTTTGTACGTTTCCTCCGAGCAGACAACCACATCTACGCGTGGGGAAACACGGATAACGGTCGGCTGGGCGTGATGCCCTCGGAGAAGCCAGGCAACAGCCCGCTGGCACTGCCACGGCCCATCTTCGGCTCGCTGCACGTCGTCTCGGACCTGTCGTGCCGCGGGTGGCACACCATCCTCATCGCAGGTGCGCGCAGGGCAGCACGCTCGCAAGCACGGCTGGGAGATTCGTTATTTACGAATCGACTACTTGACCGATCGTCGGCTCGTTTTACTCGACTAATTGGACAACGTGAAAATAGATGGAAAGAAGTTGTCACCCTTGCCACTTGGATGGGCGTTGATGGGACAGATGTAGTGCCATAGATGGGCCACACTCACCAGCAGTGGTGGACAGGGTCCATCTGCAGGTAGCTCGAACCCCCAGGGGAGGGGCCACTGTGCCAGCCCAAGAGGGGAGGGGCTGCTGGGGGCTCTAGGATCCTAGACAGCTATGCCCTCGGCGCCAGGCGCTGGGATCCCAGGATCCCAGACAGCTAAGCCCCTTGGCGCCACCAACGGGGGGTGGCTGTGTGTGTTCTGTGGGGTATCTGGGGGAACACACAACCCCACCCCTCGATGGGGACGAGGTATAAAAGGGCAGCTCCCTGGCCGATCAGGTCCAGTCGCAGCTCAAGACCCAAGACCAGCTAGCTTAGGACTCTGGACCCCCTCGTCCCGCTTGTCCTTGTAAGGGCCGGGACGCTGTGCGGGCCAGTGTTGGGACTCTGGGACTCCCAGCTTTACGTCCTTGTAAGGGCGAGTTCCGAGGAAGCCAGAGTCTAGACCCGCACTTTGGCTGGGTTGGGTCAGGTAGCCTCCCCTAGGGTAATTGTAGCCGGAGGACCCCAGAGCGTAGCTAGAGTTAGGTACGCTAAGAGTAGGCTGTGTCGCTAGGCTGTCTACCTAGGCTGTGTACCTAGGCTGTAACAGAGTATCAGGACTGTTGGAGAGTTGTATTATAATGAAGAAGTTACCTCTACAAGTGTCTCCGGAACCCATTACACAGACATGGCCACCCGGCTCGCTCGCTGACGTCTCTACATCACTGGCTGTGCCTCGGCAGGTGAGCAGCCTGTGCTGTAATGTTGTGCAGTGCTGCATCCTGGGGCAACCACGCCGTTGATTTATTGTTGCCGAGGGTCATAACTAATCCAATTTACACTATGAGACATCTCCTTTACCAGTGGCAAAATATAGTAGTAGGTTTTTACCCTTTAAACTGGTACAAAACTGACACCTTTATACAAGGCATCATGTTTGCAATAACCGCAACACAAGCAGTCAAAATGCAAACAAAAAGAAACAATTCTGATAATGGTAATGATATGCACTGTCCTTGAAGTTGATTGGTCCACACCCGAGACAGCTTTCTTAGAGCCTAGTCTCCATTGGTGTTGGACCAGATGACGCCAAAAGGCGTACAACTCAAAAACAGTGCACTATCAGAGTATTGAGAGCTCGGGGTAAGCATTTACACTATGAGACCTCCTTTTGTACCAGTTTAAAGGGTAAAAACTTACTACTCATCCTATTTTAGTGTGGGGAAAATAAATAAGCAGATGATACGTTTTTCATATACCTATCTCCACGTAAAAAGTAAAACAAATTCCTACGCAACTGGTTATTTATTTTGGTATTTATATTCTCCACAATCATGCTAAAGATGAGTTGGAGTTGTGTATTATATAATTTTACGTTTAACTAGGACCCCGTATCGTTAAGAGAGGATCCCTGCCTGTAGAGTCGGCAGGACACCAGATCACTGTCGAAACAGGTCCAGAGTTTGCTTGTCTTGAAACAATGCTGCTGAAATTATGCACTCCTAGAAAGTCCATTTTGGCTGATGGATTGTGTAAACAATACTTTGATTATTTACGTGGCGAGGTGGATAGGTGACGGAGGCATGTCTGATAATTTTTTTTATTGAGAATGGAGTTAAGTCATGGCTTGGAAAAAATTATGTTGGTATGTTCTGGTAGTTTTTGTTGTAGTTAAATGAAAACTCTGCATCTTGTTGTAAATACATGAAAGTAAATACTTTTTACACTGATTATCATTTGTTTGTTTATGTAGCAATGTTGTTGCTAATTACATTTCCACTTTGTATTCCAGAAAAAGTGTTAACTTCGAAGACCATCCGATCAGGAGGGAACTTTTCAGCCAGATCAAGTGAGTTCACCAGGAGATGCATGAATTTGCAGCGACACACATTCTACAACGCAATGAACATCACAATAGGTTTCGATTTAAAGCTTTCGTGACTGCAGGGATTCATCTTCTTGGTTCTTTCGGTAAAGTCACGTAGAAGGGAAATAATAAAATAATAAAAATGAAACATAATAAAAAAATATAATTCTCACGACGTTTCGGCCACAACACAAGCAGCCGTCCTCGGATGAAGTAACAGAGCTGTTGGAAAGACAGCGTCCCAATGAACACCGCCAAGTTTGGTAGCGTATATTTAAGCTGGGTCGGGGGATGAGAGTGCCTTGACAAAGGAGTTTACATATCAACAAGCATATTGATGGCACATGCAGATATGGGATTAGTCACTCCTTGTGTAATGTGTAGGTGGTGGGTGGCTCTCAAAGTCATATTATGCTCATGTATTATGTAGGATTAATCCAAAGTCATTATGCTCGTGTATTATGTAGGATCAATCCTACATATAGGATTAATCCTACATAATACACTAGCATAATGCACTATCAGAGCTATAAATGCTCTGATAGTGCATTGTCTTTGTACTTTTTCCTTTTGGCGTTCTCTGGTTTGACACTGGTGAGGCTAGGCCCTAAAGAATCCTGCATCTGGTGTAGGCCAATCAGTTTCTAAGACATTATTAGAGCATTTGTTTGCATGTTCACCACAAGCACGTGTGGTTAATACAGACTTGATTGGTTCTTTCGGTAAAGTCACGTAGGTGAAAGTAAATAAATATAAATAGAAATAATCAAATTTAAATCACGACATTTCGGAAGCAACACAAGCTTCCACCATCAGGTGGGACAACCGCAGCAAAAAACAAAAAATTACTGTAGTGGGCATAGAGAGCTGTTTGTGACAAGCGATTTATATAATCTTTATTTATATTTTATTCTTATTTTTATTTTTTCACCTACGTGACTTTACCAAAAGAACCAAAGAGTATGGATCCTTGCAGTCACGAAAACTTCAAATCTAAAACAGACTTGATTCCTTGCAAAAAGGTTTCTATTCAGTGTTTGAACATCTTAACACCTGTTTTATTGCCAAAAAAGGGTAAAAACCTATTCTTATTTTTCAATACTTTCATACTGGAAAAAAGGTCCCATTTTTGCAATGAACGTCACCCGTCTTCCTGACCGCACGTGTTCAATGAGCCGCGCCGCGTTTCCTCCCCTCTGCGTGCAGTCCCACGGAGTTCCCTGGGCGAGACGGAGGATGAGTCTGGGTACGATGAGGACAGCGCCAAGAGCCAATTCGACCCTCCAACTTACGAGGAGTCCGAAAGCAGCACGGCTGGGAGCTCCTGTCCCGAGTGGTTGCGAAGGGTGAGCTCTCTTTCCCCGCTCCGTCTCGAGACTCGTTCAAATTCACGAGGGCGTTTCCCAGTTTTTTTGTTTTAAGCGCGATGTTAGTCTTAAGTGTCAAAGTATACATTCATGCAATAATGCTACCTGCTCTAGGCGGTGTTGTGATGCGCTTCTGAAGTTGATTTATGTCCTTGGATGTCCCACTTAGTCTTACGCCAGTGCATCTCCGCCCATGGGCCGTGCCCCCCTCTGAAATGTTTTTGCGGGGGCCGCAGGCTGCGGCATGTATACCTTACTGGAGCAATGTTGAACGTGCGTGGGGAAATTCGGTGCCACGTTGTGGCAAAACCAGACAAGCATACACAACATTACATATGACTTATGACCATCGCGTTGACTAGAGGCGTGGACATGTGCTCTTTCTGTTGCGTGGCCTTATTAGCGTTAGCTTTGGTTGCATGTTCGTCGTAAGTTTACTCGTGTATGGTGGGGAGGGAGGTGTGCTTGGGGAACCAGTGGTCTTGATTGGAGGGCCACCATAACACACAGGTACACTGATAATTGTTTTTTTACCTTTCTATCTGGCAACAAAACTGACACCTTTGGTGGTGGGCATCGGTGCGCCTTTTGGCGTCATCTGGTCCAACCCATGTGAGACTAGGCTCTAAGGAAAGCTGTCTTGGGTGTGGACCAATCAACTTCAAGGACAGTGCATATATTATCAGAGTTATGTTTTTTGTTTGCATTATGGCTGCAGGTATTGTGGTCTATGCAAACATGACTCCTTGTAAAAAAAGGTGTCAGTTTTGTTGCCAGATAGAAAGGTAAAAAAAACAATTATATTTTTTACTGGCAAATGAGGTTCCAATGGTACAAAGCTACACTGTTTACATTTGTTCCTGCACGGGGCGATTTAGTGATGATTGTCTCTTGTGATGCCGTCAGGAACTGGAAGAAGCAGAATTCATCCCGATGGCTGGGGAGTCGCAGGGCAGCGCGTCTCGCCGGGGTCTGCCGCCCAACGTGCCCCCTTCCCTCGCCGGGGTCCCCAAAGTGCCCAGCCTGGAGCTCGGATCGCTGGGAGACTCGGGGGGCATGGTAAGGAACATGGCACTTTAGCCGCATCGGTCACATTGGGCGTTTTTGAGTTGACGGCCGCTGAAGAGACTGAGAAGTTAAAATCAAGGGCTCTCGTCTTTTTATGAGGTGTACTCTATATCCGTGAGTAGCTATATGCGTAAAATAGATATGATGTAGTTATGCGTCGTGTCTGGCAGTTGCATTATCTTGCTTGTAAATAGATGACCCAGTCGTGTATCGCGAGACGTTGTTAGATGACAAGATAACGTAACTAGTCGGCTCTATTGTCAATAATAAAGGATGAAGATATTCGTCATCCTCCCAGCCGACAAGGGCAATGCCACAGTCATCATGGACAAAAACGTGTACAATAACAACATTCAGGACCGACTTAATGATGGCAGCTACACCAAAATGAAAAGAGATCCCACCAACTGCCTCATTACAAAAACGAACAGTATCATCACTGATTCAGCTTCATTAATTGAACAGACCAAACGGTTTTCCTTAACCTTCTTCTGCTAGACCACCCAGATTATATGGCTTACCAAAAATCCATACAGAAGGTGCAGCCCTTCGTCCCCCATCGTCTCCACCATTGGCTCACCCACCTACAAACTGGCCCGGTATCTGTCTGAGACCTTGCAGCCATTCACTGTTAAGACCACCTCTTCTGTTCTTAACTCGGCTCACCTGGTATCGTCAATTAAAGACATCTCACTGTCCCCAGGTGATTTGCTCGTTAGTTTCGATGTAGTTCCTTTGTTCACCAAAGTTCCTGTGCCCGATACCATTGCAATAATTGAGGATTTGGTCCAACAAGGACTGAATGCTGATGTACCAGCCCTGGTGAGACACTGCCTCACCAATGCATACTTCACCTGGAATGGAATATTCTACAAACAAACTGAAGGCACCCCAATGGGTTCTCGCTTATCTCCAGTTGTGGCCAACATTTTCCTGGAAAAAATTAGAGACGGACGCCATCCAGGCATGCACTCTACGCCACATAGCCGGTCGGCTATGAAACAATTCCTCAACCACTTCAAGGATGGCATGCTTACCCCTCTTGGATGTCTTAATCAAAAAGAGACCAGATGACTTAATGAACCACTTTGTCTACAGCAAGGTAGTCCATACTGATGCCTACCTAAAACCCGATTCCCACCACCATCCATCCCAGATCAATTTCCTCATCAAAACGCTACACCATAGAGCTCAATGTATCTCCGACTATGAACACTTGACCAGTGAACTCAAACACATACACCAGGCTCTCAAGGCGAATGTATATCCTGACTACACAATCCGCAAAGCCATCACCCCAACTGTGAGGAAGGAGCCATCTGAAGATCCAATCAAAACCATCGCCTTACCTTACATAGCAGGGATAACCAAAAATATTTCCAAAATCTTGAACAAACAAGATCCAGGTCCGATTCAACACAGTGCATAAAATTGTTGACCTGATCCCATCTGTGAAGGACAAGATTCCTGACATACAATATCCCGGCATCTACAAACTAAGCTGTATCTGCGGCCGCAGTTACATTGGGGAAACCAAACGACATGTCTCAGACCGTGTTCATGAACATAAAGCAGATCTGAAACACGGCAGGACCAATACTTCTGCCGTGGCTGATCATTACTTGAATGCGGCTGGCTCACGTGAAATTGATTTCTCTAAGACGATGGTACTTTGAAAGCCGACTGGCTAGCTAGAAAGATTTGTTCACGAAGCCATCCATATATACAGACACAATTTCAACCGAGACGATGGTTTTAAACTCAGCAATCATTGGAAATATGTCATCAACCAATTTGGGTCATGACTTGATTTGTGTTTTTATTGTCAACCTCTACCGTCAGCAGTGTGGATGGGTGTAGCAAGGTGCAATGCTTTGATTGGTGTAGACCTACTCCTGGTGTCGGCGCCCTCTCCTACATTAACATTAGCTGCCCTGCCCATCTCTAAAGCTTTATAACCAACTCTGTGATTGGTGTAGACCTACTGGCGGTGTCGAGACCTCTCCTACATTAACATTAGCTGCCCCGTCCATCTCTAAAGCTTTATAAACAGCCTGCCTCAGCAGCTTTCCCCCTCTTTTTTTTCTCCTGATGACGATTGCTTGTGTTGCGATCGAAACATCGTGATATTTTTATATATTTTTTATTCACTTTATTTTCATTTGTATTTTATTGTTATTATTTTTTCTATCTTCGTGACTTTACCAAAAGAACCATAGAATATGTATTCCTGCAGTCACGAAAGTTTTAAGTCAAAATAAGGGATGGCTTGATTAAATCAAAACACATGTTGCAAAGCATGTACATTGGGTGGGAAACTTTTACTTATTGCCGACGTAGAAGTAATGGGGGTGAAGAACAGTAAACCGTTTCCTTACTCATGTTTATGGTCACGTGGGCACTGTCAGGTCCCCACAATGAGCGAGGAGCAGATATTAGAACCTGCGGTGTATTTGAGTGGTGCGACTGGCACAGTTAATGTCCCCAGGGCTAATCGCTAGTGCCTTTGCATGCCCACAATGCAGCACTGTGGTGGCGGGGGGGGGGGGGGTTGGGGAACGGCACACATTTGTGAAATTCTCCCTCCGTACCTGGTGGGCGTGGAGGTTGCCATCTCCGAGCTTGCCAGGGTATGATAGCAGTATATATGTATGTTAATTTCCATCTGTACGGGGATTGCATTCGTGGGTTTTCTCCGGGTGCTCCTGTTTTCTCCTACATGTGTAAACGCTCGTTTATGGAGTTGGCCAAACAGTCCAACATAACCACAGAGCTTCAGGAATTTGTCAGCGTCCGTTCCAGCTGCCTTCCCGCTATTCTGCAGCTTCTTGCTTGACTGTGGCTTCGAAAGTGTGCGTGTTATGCATTCTACAGTGCGTGTTATGCATTCTTTGTTCAAATGCAATTTACGCGAATGACTGCATAAAACAAAACGTATTCTTCTTAAATCCACACGTCCCTCCGGTTTCCGCGTCCCCTTCACAGGAGCGGGGCGGCGCGCATGATCGCCGTACCTCGTACGCCGCTGCCGCCCCGGCACGTCGCGTCTCCCAGGGCCTCGGCGGCGGCGCCGGTGGCGCATGCGCCGAGGCGGCGGCCGCGGCGGCGCCGCCCGGGGAGCTGGCGCACCTGCGCGACACCGTGCGGCAGCTGCTGGCCGAGGCGCAGAAGGCACGCACAGAAAGCGGGCAGCTTCGCGATGAGGTGCACGCCCTGCGCTCCGAGGTGGCGCGGCTGCGAGTGCCGTCCGCGGGCGGCGAGGTGCGGAGCCTGCGGGCCGAGGTGGCCAGTCTGCAGGCGGCGGCGTCGGCATCGTCGGCGTCGTTGCCGGCGTCGCCGTTCGATCCGCGCCTCGCCGCCGAGGTGCAGGAGTTGAGGGACGAGCAGGGCGCGCTGCGGGCTACCGTCGTTCGCCTCGAGACCGACGTCAAGAATCTTCAGACGAAAGTGAGTGAAGCGTAAGTGACTGCACGGCAGACCCCGGGGTCAAGTACACTGGGCACATTGGCTTTTTGCAATGAACCAATCGATATCACAGTGTAATTATCATCCTCGCAATGCCCCTTTGCGGCATCGTGATGATCGGCAATTCGGCGATGTATTGTTTCTAATATCCATGGTAATTGAATCGTCCATTTTGCACTGTCACCATATGCTTCTAGATTTGAAGCTTTCGTGACTGCAAGGATTCTTACTCTTAGGTTTTTTCGGTAAAGTCATGTAGAAAAATAAGAATAAAATAATAATAAATGAAAATAACTCCATTAAATCACGACGTTTCGGAGACGGAGACTTGTGTTGTCCTCCGAAACGTCGTGATTTAATTGAGTTATTTTCATTTATTATTACTTTATTTTATTATAATTTTTTACCTACGTGACTTTACAGAAAAAACCTAAGAGTATCACCATATGCCTTTTGTTATAAATTTAAACTTTTTCTCGATTTTGTCCTCCCATAGGGTTTTGTATTGTTTTGTTGTAACTTGTTGAACCACCACTACTGGACATCTGTGAAAATGAGCTTCATAACTCATCGGATTCCTCCTCCAGTCTAAATAGAGATTCTGATATAAATAAAAAAACAAATGTAGGTTAATATATTTTTTTAAAGGTTTAGATTCGTTTTCTATCGTATATGTACACTGGGGCCTCTTGTCAATCCACTGCTGGATGAGGGCCATTCAGGTTATGGGGGGTTATCTGTGCATTCATCTTATTGGTTCTTTCAGTAAAGTCAAGTAGAAGGGAAATAATAAAGATAAAACATAATAAAATACAATTCTCACGACGTTTCGGCCACAACGCAAGCAGCCGTCCTCAGGTGAAGAACAGGTCTGTCGGAAAGACAGCGTCTGACAGACCTGTTCTTTACCCGAGGACTGCTGCTTGTGTTGTGGCCGAAACGTTGTGAAAATAGTATTTAATTACGTTTTATTTTTTTATTTTATTATTTCCATTCTACGTGACTTTACCGAAAGAACCAAGAAGATGAATCCCTGCAGTCACGAAAGCTTTAAATCGAAATGTACCTGTGCATTCTTCACAGTTTGGTTTTGTGAAGGCAGGGAGCTTAGTGGTGTAGAAACAACAACGGTGGATTTGGCTGCACTGCTGCTCAGCTCCACACCCGCACATAGCAACTTCCTCCATTATTTAGAATATTTAGTCTCTTTGGTATTAGTGTCGCGCTTTGCCACATTGGTGATATTTCACGGTGCAATTCAAACAGAACCGAGCAGCCAATGGTCATTAAAATGGAATTTGTTGCTCCACTTTTGCACAATTTATTCAGGCCACGGACTCTAGATGTACGAATAAAAACTCTGCAATGTTAATCTCATGAGATCTACTACAGGACGGACTGATGCTTTGTGCGTTGGTGGTGTTTTTGTTGTGCCTGTGCTTCTGTTAGTCATGCATTTGCGTTCCTCATACATTTTAAGTAGTTGAACACGCATTTGCGTTGGTCATGTGCGTGTGTGGTTTTTGTGTTGTGCCTGCGATGGAGTGTTCGTCTTGGTCACGATTTTGCGTTGCCACGTGTGTGTTTTGTGTTGGTGGCGTGCATCATCCTGCGTTCGTGTCGCTCGCACGTTCGCCGTCTCTCGTGCCCGCCGCCGCCTCCGCCGCCCGTGAACGTTGGCGCTTCAGTTGAGGCAGCTGGAGACGAGGGGAGCCGACTCTGCAGAGGAGCAGCCGCGAGGGACGGGCGACGGGCAGAGCCGCGACGCCGAGGGGTGCGACCGTGGGGCCGACGAATAGCGAGGAGGAGGAGGAGGAGGGCGTCTCCTCCTCGCCGTGCCCCCTCCCTTGCCAAAGCCATCCATACTGCACGGCCCGTGTTGACCGGGCAACACTCATTTTGGCCTCCTTGTATTTTTATGAGAATGTTCACAAGCGTCCTCATAAAAGGTGTGCCGTCTGTTTCGTGCCTCCACTTTCCCTCCCCTCCGCGTTCAAATTCACTCCCAAACACAACACCGTCCACCGCCCCCCCCCCCACCAAAGTGAATGAATAAATAAAACGTATTTGGGAAAAAAGCCTCAAGCCTACGAAGACGCGTAGCCATGTCAGCATTTCATGCCGTCGCACACTTGTGAAAATGGCGATGACTGTAGATGATAGCTGATCATGAAGTATTTTTGAAATTGCAAGGGATGTGTTCTTCCCACTTGGATCGTCTCCCGTGCCCTTGACGAGGGGTCGTTCCAACACGGCCAGTTTTATACTGTTTGAAAGTGACTTGGTCAAACAATCGGTGCAATTATGCGTACGAGCATAAGCTTTACTCGAGGAGGTGATGACTTCGTTAAGGGCTTTGTACATTCTTTTGAGCTCTACCTACATGCAGTATCGGAGTGTTTAATATTGTATGAAATACATGTGCTAGCTCAGTCTTTTCTCAGACCATATGCAATAACAACATTTATTGGTTTTCATGTAATGTATTGTAAACAAATTGCATGTGCATACGAAATTCTTCCTTTTAAATACAATAAAGAGATAAAGTTAACATTCTTTGATTTTGTATTTTTGTGATAATTACGTGTGATTTATAAAATTACTTTTATGTATGTGTAGAGATGTTCCGACGGACGTACTCTGAGACGGAGGTAAGTTAAGGGCTTCCGCCAGGGTTTATTAAAGCTTATCAATACTACACAGGGTACACAACTCCCAGGGGCTAGGGGTCCTACTCTGAGTCCGGGTCCCTGCCGGCTAGCTCCGGTCTCTCGTGTCGGATCGTGGACTCTGCCGACTCCACCGAGCGAAGAGAGAAGCACCTCTACGGCTACCACCGGCTTCTCCCCAGACTCACTACTCGATCCCTCTCTCTACCCCTGGTTCCCTCTTCACCCTGCTTACTCTACCCGTTCCCACAGTGACCCCGCTTACGTCACGGGGTCTCCCTTAAGTACCCTAGGAGTTGTGACGTCATTGCACTGAACGGCAGACCTGACGTCACGTCCCCATTTTACTCCTCTACATTTTCATACCACGTGGCTTTGTGCTGCCTGCCGGGAAAGTCGTGCCACAAGGACTGATCTTGTTGCCACTTTGCAGCCGTTGTGCCGAATCGGCAGCAAGAGTCAAAAAAGGTGTGCTGCGGTATTTTTAAATCCTTTATATTAAGTTCGCTTGCTTGCTTGCTTACGACCGTGCAAACCTTTCGGTCGTTTTTTAACCCACTTCCCGTGATCCAATCGAGCTGACATTTTGCACACAGACTCGTTGTGCGAGACAATTAATGTTAGTGAAAATTTTTTTTCCAAAATTTTACATTAGGGAAAACAAATTTAATATTTAATTACCAATTGTTTAATACTGCAGACAATCATCTGACCCATAGGTGGCAGCCATCTCAAGCCAGAGGACGAGAGGACTCTAGCCGCCACGCATATAAAGGATTTAGAGTGAAAAACTTTGTTTTTACGGGTTATACTTATTCAAATTGATCAAGACTGCAACAATATAGCAAACGCCGACACGCGCCAAAGTGAAACAAGTAGGTGTTGAAATGAACACCGTTAGAAATCCGCTCTTTATTCCCCCATACCCGAGCCTCGCGCGTCTGCGGTTCTAATTGAGTCGCCAAAAAAGGTGTGTGGAGTGCGACACGCGATTTGGAGAATTACACGTTTCTATGGCGAGACCGAGTTCTCAGATGGCGTGCCGCTTGAGAAATAGCAACATACGCGCACACCATGGTAGGCCATGATCAATCCGCTCCTGGATGAAGGGCCCACGGTGATGTGTTGGCTTTTTGTGCCACGAAGATTGAGAAAGCTCGAAAGTGCTGTGGGATAAACTCTTTTGAAGCACTTGATGAATGGAATTCTGCTCCCCGTGAGCCTGGGGGGTGTTTCCAGCGGTGTGAATTTAAAGTTTAAACATCTTTTCACGATAGCACCCTCTACTTTCCAACATGCATGGCCGTCATGGGATGCATGATGTTGAACTTATTTCGCACCGCACGTAGCTTGAGGAGGCCTTCGTTCAGCAGTGGATCGAGTTATGGCAATGATGGCACGCGAAGAAGAGGACTTGATATTTCATAATTTTGTTTTAAAACCGTGAAGCTGGGTCCAAAGGTTAACCTGCACGAATTGTTGCGGCTCATCGGGGTGAGGTTGACTGCCGAATGCGAAGTTCGTTGCGACATCTGATAACTCCGGTGAGAAGTTAATGCACCGGTCGTACAAATCGTCAGGGTGGCTAATGAATGGTGTGTCCTCTTGGACAGCAGTTGTGCGTAAAGTTTCTGATGAAGAAAAATGTTAAGGCCGTAACAGTTGGATGGTGCATGCCTAATGTAGAAGGGTGGTTGGTTGTATATGAACACGTATCTAGGTGCTAACGATGCCAGCACCTCGATACGTGTTCACGTTCCTAAAGAATCCGTAGCTTATTGGCGTTAAGGGATTGCAGTATGACATTCGTGTAGCAGGGGGAACATTTAGAACATATTGGAAGTTCCATTTTGTTTCATGTTTTTGTGAGTGTTACCGCAACTCAAACTCGAACGACTTTTGTATGTACAAGCTCGTGTGCATTTGTACATTTTGGCACTGTGCCAAAGTTACAAGAATCTAAGTCTTTTTTTTCCAGAAAAATACAAGGCAATGTTTAACACATTTGTACAAATTGGTTAAGTGCCGCACCTTAACAACTCTTGGAACCTCCGAGTTCAACCAATCTACACAACAAAGGCTCATTCCTAGCAGCGTGCTTCAGCCGCACCGAACCTCACAATAATAATATCCAGGGGGCCTGTCTTGGCTCCTCCCACCCTCAACCAGTATATATACAAGGACTGTTTTTTTTGGAATTTCTCTTACTTGATACAGCTATCGTGCTGTGACGGTTCCACCTGAAGACGGAAGCTTGTGTTGCCTCCGAAACGTCGTGATTTTTATTTTATTTTTTATTTTACTTTTATTAATTAAATTTTTTTACCTACGTGACTTTACCGAAAAAAATCTGAGAATATGGCTAAGTGCCACTAAGTTACCCGACATTTCGTCGCGTCTTCCGTGTGCTGCATAAGCCACAAAGCCCCGTTACGAATACTTAAAAATTAATTACGTGGGAATGAGTCCCATTGAGCGCAGTGACCCCAATTTCGAACTTTCGTCCGCCTACAATTACCACAGCCCTCCACCCCCAGGGTTCAAGAAAGCGCATGGCGGGCAGGGGGGGCAGTGGCTGGGGTCGTTAAAAGGGGGGCTCACGCATTCCTTCCTCTGCCGAGCAAACGCTCCTCCAGCCCCCCACGTCTCCCCCCCGCACGCAAATAAAACCAAGCGCGCGAGACAAATAAGCGCGGATGGGTTTTATTGTTGTTTTATCGCCGGGAGAGCGAAATTAAGAGGCGGCTGAGAGCGGATGGGGGCAGGGGTAATCGTCGAGCAGCCACTGGCGGGGCACATTGCAGCCCACGGAACATCGTGGCGCTCGCGAGCGAAGCGGGTTTCAATGCGCCCCGTCTCGTTCCATCTTGGCTGCTGAGCGGGGGGTTGAGACTATTTGGGGCTGATTGGGTGGGGGTGGTGGGGGGGGGGGGTGGTGGGGGTGGTGGGGGGGGGGGGTGGTGGTGGTGTTGGGGGTGGGTGGTTTGGGGTGGGTGGTGGTGGTGGGGGTGGTGGTGGGTGGTGGTGGGGGGGTGATGGTGGGGGGGTGGTGGGGGTGATGGTGGGGGTGGTGGTGGTGTGGTGGGGGGGTGGTGGTGGTGGGAGGGTAGTGGGGGGTGGTGGGGGGGTGGTGGGGGTGGTGGGGGGGGTGGTGGGGGGTGGTGGGGGGGTGGTGGTGAGGGGTGGGGGGGTGGTGGGGAGTTGTGGTGGTGGGGGTGGTGGGGGGGTGGTGGTGTGGTGGGTGGTGGGGGTGGTGGTGGTGTGGTGGGGGGGTGGTGGTGGTGGGAGGGTGGTGGTGGTGGTGGTGAGGGTGGTGGTGGGGGTGGTGGTGGGTCTGAGTGTCAGTGAGGAAGATGCTCTACGTTCATCCGTCCACGACTTCATTCCTCACGGAACGAGTTTTAAAAATTATTTTTTGAGACTTAAACATTTTTTTTTAAACCAAATGAGAGCTAAAAAACATCAGAAGTTGATCTTCAAAGAGTCAGGGTAAAAGAGCTCTCGTCGACTTTTTGCTTGGAGTGCAGAAGATTGAAGCCGTTTCAGTGAGAGGGAGTCACCCAGGTCGAGAGAGAGCCGAGCGTGGCTGGAGAGAAACGCCTGGGTCACACCGCGAGAGGACATCGTGGATTGTGGGTAGTTGTCTGTGTTCGCAGTGAATGTGCTGCAGTTATTAACGTCGGCGATTGTGGTCGCGTATAAACTCGCCTTTAAATAAACAGCGGTGGCAACTTGATTGTGTTTTTGTTTTCTTGGTTCTTTCGGTAAAGTCACGTAGAAAAGAAAAAAAATATTAAATTCTCACGACGTTTCGGCCACAACACAAGCAGCCGTCCTCAGGTGAGGACAGAGCTTTATGAAATACAGCGCTCCAAATTTTTTATTATTTTATTACTTCCCTTCTACGTGACTTTACCGAAAGAACCAAAGAAGACGAATCCCTGCAGTCACGAAAGCTTTAAATCGAAATGTGTTTTTGTTGTTGTTGTTGCAAAGGGCGATTATAAGCCCCGGATTCAAGTCGGCACAACACAAGTTCGGGAATTTCAAGCGCCCCCTTCATTAGTCGACAGATTTTTTTTTTAGCACAAATCACCAACGGAGGCACCGCTGCGCCAAAGCGCGCACTCAGGACGCGGAGTAAAGATCAACGGAGAACATCACGAGACGTGTCTTCGGCAGTTTCCGTTGCCGACAGTGCATCGTGTGCTTCGCGTGATGCACTGCGAGATAGAAACGATGCGTATCGCGTTCGACCGCCTCCTACGTGGGCGAAGTTGTCCTGCGAGGATTACCACGTGGGTTCTTTGCAACCCAATGATTGTTTGTGTGTGTGTGTGGTCTCTGGCAAATGCCTTGAACGCCAATAGACCCGACCACATTAGCATGATGCCTCTTGACAATCCTGTGTCACGGAGAATGAACGGGGCCGCCCAATTAAGTATGACAATATTAGAAGCCGCTCAATTGATGTGCATGGTGTATTCCTCAACTCCGAACTCTCGGTGATAAAAAAAAATCAATTAAGTGGCTTTACAATGGTCCGCCTTGCGTTGACGTGCCGTGAACAGGGTCAGATTTAAAGTCAAGTTACGTAAAACAACGACAGCCCTTCGTGCATCAGCTTCTCACTCGCCCGCCGGGTGTAAGATATCCTGCGTGTGGTCTTCACATGTCCTGTTCACCATCAGCCTTGGTCCATCCACTGCTGGATGAAGGCCTTCCTAAGCGGCCACCACGTCTCGCGACATTGCGATGGAACAATCTGCCCAGCACTTGCACGCGATATTGATTGAATCGCTCCGGCTACCTCGCGCGCACGTCCTCTCGAGCGCGTCCATCTTCGGCTGCCATTCCGTCATTCATCTTTGCCCCATCCATCGTTTC